GAAACAGTGCTGTGGCCTGCACGACAAGTGAAGACAGGCCATCTAAGTATCTAAGTAAGTAAGTATAAATAATGATACTCAGCAAAGCGACACGACAATGAGTTTGAAGTTCTATCCGTCTATCTGAAACTTTTTGCAAAAGATAATCATTGAAGTATTGAGAAACATGAAATAAAAAAGGAATTTTCTTGAAATTTGAAACGTCGAAGATTTTGTAGTTCCGCTCGTCTAGTTCTATGTGCAATTGCTGCAACATGAAAGGATCATCATAGTTTTCAATACCGTAATCAAGTTCTTTTGGTTATTCTCTTTATTAGTAGTGTAGCTTTCCGTATAACCAGATCGCACAGTGAACGTGCTTAGTTTGTTACAAGAAAATTTGAGCGAGGAAGAGCATAAACAATATTCTCTAACCTTTTATACAAGTACCAAAATTGCACCAAACAATTTATTCGAGATTTGAGGGCAACAAACATATCATATGTAATCGTATATCGTAAGGAATCGTATGTATCGTACATAATCTCAAGTGTAAGTTACCGTCTTAGGTTAGGTTACCTGTACTAAACCGTAATAAGGCAAAAATAAAACACCCGATTTGGAGATTGCACGCCGTTTAATTTTTCTAATCGTTAACACAGTAGGCCCGACTCAGCTATGTGGTTTAGGAAATCCTTGCGAAGTGTATGTGCTAATACTTCTATCGGATTATTCTGCAGATCTTCGGGACTGACAGTAGCCTCGCGTACTTTCCAAATATTCCAACCCAAGCGAACACCCTGTAAGCCAAATTAAAAAAAAAACTTGCTGACAGCAAGGACTGCAGAAAATCTGTTGAGACGTACTAATTTTTGGTTTGCACATAAAACCAAAGAGAGTTTTCATAAAGTGATAACTAAGTTTTCTTCCCATAAAAGGTTAAGCAAAATGATTCATTTGACGTATGCTATTTACTACGTACCTTGAAAAGCATGACGAAAGCAACGATGCCCATAAGTCCAGCAGCTTTTTCAATCATTTGTGAAGACGGTTCCCCGAGCGCTTTAACGGAAACCATCAAGCAAGTCGGCGATTCTAAACTCATCAAGTTATTAATGAGATAACTTACTTCTTCCAAATTTATTCTCAGTTCAAAGCACAGTTTGATGAAGAAAAACTGAATGTGAAAAAAGCAGCGACTACAAAAATCAAAACTAATGAGACAAAATTCCTCTCAGCTATCTCAATACCCAAATGCAGAAACTTTAAAAATATAATTGTATACTTCAATCCATTCTCTTGTCTATATTTCGAAACTTACCGGGCGAATATCTCAAACAGACAATTTATAAATCTTATAAATTGATGTCTCAGACCTACAGTTTCTTCAGCAAGACCTCATCACAAATATCATCCTATTTTAGTGGCACTGCAAAAATTACTGTAGATGTTGCACCTGCAGTTCTTCCACTTTAGAATCTTAGTCCATGATCCCTAACTAAAGGAATGTCGAGCTTTTGCTCTTTTATCGGATAAATAACCTGCCAAGTCGAAAGATCCAATAAAAAGAATGCTCTTTGTTTGAGATGAGAAAGGCAGATCAAATTTAAATCATGATCAAACAATCTTTTCAAGATACTGTCTACTACAGGGTGGCTCACATGAAGTGTGACGGGCTATGAAAAATCCATTTTCTGGCATTTTGAAACATTTTTTGCTTTGATGTGTTTTCCTCGTATTTTGTAGTCCTACTTTTTCCAGTCTTATTCTCTTTCTCTAGGTAAAAATGGCATAAGATGATTGTTCTGCAATAATGGCTATGCAAAAGCGCGGCTTGTCAGTCACTGAGATTTCAAAGACACTCAAATTACATCGAGAGCAAGTCCGAGTCATAAAATCTTCAAAGAAACTGGAGGAATTGAAAATCATCCGGAAATGCGCGCATCCTCAAGAATTTCAAAAAGAGATTGAATGTTTGTATTAAAGCCAAAAGAGGCCATTTTGAATGCGATATGTAAATTTCTATGTAGATACTTCTGGCTATGGGGTTGAAGAGTATATTTTTTATTTAGACTGAGTGGTGCAAATTTGTGGGTAGTTTTTTGCGTCACACTTCACGTGGACCACCCTGTACACTTAGCGCTATTGTACTGAGATTGCATAGAGCCCCGAGTTCCAGTAAGTTTTACTGTGGAAACTGTAGCACTACGCATAATTGCAATCAACCTCTATGAAATCTGGCAACAGACTCCATAGATGAACGTTGATTTGTTGAAAGAAACTCATTCCTTTGAAAAATGCCTTCCCTGTGCTGACATCCCAGTTTGCGAAAGCTAACTCGTACTCTTGGCGAGAGGCAGATGTGTGATGATGGCATATGAGATGGTGTCGGCTAACTTTGGTGATGAGTCATCGATGTCTGTTGCATCTCATCGCAATTCACCGCTAGCTAGCCCAGGTCATGTAAGATTTGAGGTGAAAACCACCAACAAATAAGGAGAAATAAGTTGATTTAATGATTTGAGGTAAGAAATTTGCGAAACTTTTGTAATATTTCTGTCAAGACGCTGCACTTTTCTGTGTTACTCAAACCACTAGCCAAGTGGATACATTGGAATGATTAGAGCAAGGGAGTTCGAAACTATTTCAAATGGTCAACAAAGTGATGGAAGTCCAACTAGGAGCATTAGCTATCTGGAGCGAACACGAAAAAATACCATATTATTAAATGCATAAACTTGTGCATTTTTCAAAATCAATCTCGCCGAAGGTCGAACCTTTTCAATTTGAGTGCAAAAGGGTATCCGAGCGAGTATTAACCTGCATCCATCGTCTCAAACATGAACTCAAAAGCAGCATCCAGCCAGGACTAAGGATTTTGAGTTTCCACCAGGTAATGATTGCCAAGTCTCTGACTAAACTGACTTCCCAAATGAAGCAAGAGTTAAGCGAGAAAATCCTTTGGACGTTTAGACGTTCAGCCCGCCCCCTTCAGGTCACTCCACCCGCACAGTAATTTTCTGCACCGTCCGTGTTTGAATTCTACCAAAAATAGTGCTTCTTAGTGAGCAAGGCATGCGATCGTTTCAGTAGCGAAGAAAACTCGATAACTTGAAATTGCTCCTCTGCCTGCTGTCCTTGTCAAAAGAGGGCCCGGAATTTCTGGGATTTTTTTCCGGCAGTTTTACGGCAGTTGAGTTTGCTATTGTGTTCACCAAAAAGGTGGAAAAAACGTGAAGAAATCCTGAGCCAAGAGTCTGACCGGACACCGCCTTTAAGGAAATGTTAGCGCGCGCCCCTCAGCAAAATATTAATTGCTCGAAGAGCTGGATTTCCGGCCTTGAAATGCTTTAAGCCAGAGCACGCGATTAATGTGAAAGGGGCTCTTTCCTGGAATGCTGCTGTAGCTGATGTGAGATGAGGTGTTCATGCATTAGCAGTAGCATTAGAAATTTGGGTTGTAATCATGATTTTCTAAAGTATTTCACTGTGTTTTTGTCATTTTGAAGCGGAAGTTTCAGATATCAATAAGATTGACAGGCTTCCTTGTGTTTTGCGGTGCTGTAAACTTCGGAATGTGAGGCAATTTCATGTCTGCACTCATAAAGGTCTCAAATGCGCTCAGTGATTGCATCGCTAGTTGATTCCACTATTGTAGTATGCATTCGGATGTTAAAATATTGATGATACAATTAAAGCGAATATTGCAAAACAGGTCAACAAATCTAACATAAAAATAGCAAAGGTGTAAGAACCGAACATGTACACTAAGATAAGAAACTTACCTATAGAGTTCGTTAGGTTCCATGGAATCAGCGAGTGATGCAAAACTGAAATATGTGTATCAGATAAAACTCTTGAATTTTAATACAGTGGAAAATTTTGCACGAAGCATATTTGAGGCGCATTCGCCTCTTCAGATCACAGCTTAGTTTTTCAAGTAAAGTTTTCTAATACACTGTAAGGAAAACCCGTCCGAAATTTGTTAATTACGACTTAAACATTATTTACAACGCCAAATTTAAATATTAAATGTGCCATACCTTTGGGCATTTAATGCTCCATTGAATCTTTTCCTAAGTTTTATTCCAGAAAAAACTCATCACAGATTTCTAAGACGTGAATTTTCTTCGAAGAAAAGGACTTTGAGCAGCCATAACCTATAGAGAAAAGCCATGACCCCAAAAATGAAGATGATTCAGGATTGACAGTAACTTGCGAGAAAGTGACACTGGTAGCGTGGGAAGTGCGACAAGTATGACAGTTGAGGTAGGGTTTTGTAACCAGGCTGAACCTAATTTGCATGGCTATTTGTGCCACTGCATGCGATCACAAATTGCAAATTTACCTTGAGGAAAATGAACAAATAGAGTGAACTACGAAACTCTATCTCCTCCATCGCACACAATGGAATGTCCGCCAACCGACTGCAATGTTGCGAAACAAATCCAACTTTCCAAATGAGAAATTATATCAAGGAAATATCCATGGTGGAGCAGATGGCAACGGTATTTTTGCTCTCAACACTTCGGACTATTGAGCTACCGACAAAAGTAAGTTTGAAATTGATCAGCACAAATATGCAGATCATGCTTTGTCCTAATGATAAACATAGCTCTGAGGTGAAATATGTGTGTCTAAAGTCAGCAAAAGGAATTCCGGACGAATCCTGCTAACCCGATAAATTAAACGAACGCTTCAAAGATCAACCTCTTCGTCAGATTTTAAGCTTATTTAAACTGTACATAAGCCAACCTGATTCGTAGATCTCGGCTCGAATGATATACTTGGTCTCAAGCAGGCCCAAATAGTCTGACCAACATGTAAGAAAATAGAAGAAAATTAATGCTAGAAGGCCGATAAGAATAAATAGGACCACATATTTCCATAATTCTGGAAAAAATGCGTTAGGTATCCTTAATAATTTAAGGTGTCGTATTCTGACTATGATAATTTTTTCTTAAGGTTTTGATCGTATTCGAAAAAGAGTATCAAATCGAAGTTTATCGGGGTACTCACTCTGTACAGCTTTTTGCTGTTCGACAAGCTCTTGTATGAGTTTTTGGAAGGCGAGCTTCTGATCATCGGGAACTTTCTGTTGAAAGATGTTTGACCATAGCTTCTCGCCCGAGGCAAGATTCATCTTAAAAGTTTCAACATGCACAAAGACGTCAGAAATAAGACAACTATGCTTCCTCACCGAAGGGCGAGTTGCGACAGGAACCATCGGGCCTTATTTCTATTTGAAAAGTGTCCTACCTGAAATGAATTGCTATTTAAGTGAAATTGAAAACAGCAACGAAGATTCGCTCACGGGCTAACTCGACTGGCACATAGGTGACGGCAGGAGATGTGTTCTTTTTTCGCATTGAGTAACAGCTGTCGAATTCTTGCTCGAGGATATCATCGTTGGCGGGGGTGCTGCCTGCTATTGATGAATGTTCTAAAATTGCACCGCACAGATGAGTGCTTTGTTCCAGCATAACTAACTTTTTGAAATATATAAGCATCTGATAATTTTAATAGACATTGAACATTATATGTGGATGAAATTATGACGGATTACTCGGCGTTATGAAATCTCGTTTATTCTTCAAATGTTTCATTTGGAGTTTAAAAGATACTTGGAACTCTAAGTTTAGAAATTAAAAGGCGCGAGCGTTTATAGTTCACTTAATGTCGGAATGAAAACTATACGAAGAAGTTATTGCGAATCTTTTTTGTTTATGTAACTGTCGCAACATTTTGAGGTATATAAAAGATTAACATTTGCCTGTGGATATGCTTTGCGTGACTGGAAGCATTTGTTTTTATCAAAAATGACATGAGTCGTTCTCGTGAGAAGTCCTATCTTTTTGTTTGTTGGGGTGAAGAAGCTGCATATTTCTAAGTCTATTTTGTTATAATGCTAAGTTATTGAGAAGATCAGCATCTCCAGGAATGTTAACCAATCCATCTATCAACTGAGGATGTTTTGCCAAGTTCAATAAATGTAAATCAAATTGGTTATGCAGGATTTCCCATATTTACACAAACTAAATTTTACATCTATTTTCGCAGGACTTTGAATTGTTGAATAAAAGAGGATGAGTAAGGATTTTTTTAAATCGCAATATGCGCATGGCCATGTCACATATGCTATATCCTTGACAGAGAGCGTGCTTAACCTCCGCTTCTATAATCGTAGGTAGAACAGTTCAGTTATCAAATTCGGTACTTTTTGACTAATAGCGATAATGTTGGCATTGCAGCACCCCTGCAAATTCAGTGTGTTCACAGAAATTGTAGTAA